GAACATATATTGAGGAACATATAATAAGTCTTCCTTTCTCCTACTGATTGAACACTAATTCATTGTGTTTATGCAACACATTTTGTTCATCCATTCATCTGTTGAATGGATATTTAGGTTATTTCCACTTTTGACTACTTTGAATAGTTCTGCAAAGTGTGAGTATTCTTTGAAGTGAGCTACAATCTGTACTAAAAGCTGTGATCTTTTATCTTCATCAATAAGTATTTTAAGTTCATTTTGCTTTCATCAAGCAAGGTTATATCATTTGCATATTGCAGATTGTTAATGACTATTCCTCCAATCCTTATGCCACACTCTTCTCTATATAATCCAATTTATTAGATTATTTGCTCAGCATAAAGATTGAATAAATATATTGAAAGAACACAACCCTGACACACATCTTTTCTGATTTTAAGCTATTTAGTACTGTTTGAATGACAGCCTCTTGATCTATGTACAGGTCCTCAAGAGCACAATTAAGTGTTCTTGAATACTGAATCTTTGCAGGGTATCCATAGCTTGTCATGATCCACATATTCAAAAGCTTCTGAATAGTAAATAAAGCACAAGGAGACATCTTTCTGATATTTTCTGCTTTCATCCAAGATCTTTCTGAAGTCAACAGTGATATCTCTAGTTCTATGTACTCTTCTGAATCCAGCTTGAATTTCTGGAAGTTTGCTGTTGATGTACTATTGTAGCCATTTAAAAATTATCTTCAGAAAACTCTAATTGCATGTGATATTAATGAAAATGTTCGGTGTTGGGTCACCTCTCTTTGGAATGGAACCAACATGGATTTCCATTCAGGTGGCCAGGTATATGCCTTCCAGTTTTCTAGGCAAAAAATGAGTGCTGCATTAGTATTTTGATAATTTCAATTTGTATTCTGCCAATTACTGGAGCTTTGTTTTTCTTCAATGCATTGAGCGCAAATTGGACTTCTTTCTTCAATTCCATAATACTTTTTGATATAGCTGAACAGTGACCATTTCTTTATGATATTGTTGTTGTTGTTAGGCGCCATCAAGTCGGTGCAGACTCATAGATACTTTATGCATAGCAGAACGATTCCAGACCAACCTCACTATTGTTGCCACGCTTGAGTCCATGGATGCTGCCACTTTCAAACCCACCTCGTTGGGGGTCTCTGACTTTTTCTCTGACCCTCCACCTTACCAAACATGATATCCTTCTCCAGAGACAGGTCCCTCCTGACAATATGTCCGAAGTATGAGAGACAAAGTTTGGCCATCCTGGTCTCCAAGGAGCATGCTGGCTGCACTTCTTCCAACACAGATGTTTGTTCTTTTGGCAGCCCATGGCACTTTCTCTATTCTACTCCAACAACATAAGTCAAAAGCATCAATTCTTCTATGGTCTTCTTTATTCACTGTCCAGCTTTTGTGTGTATAAGAGGTTATTGAAATTACCATGGCTTGGGTCAGGTGCATCTTAGTCCTCAAGCTGATATCTTTTCTCTTCAACACTTTGAAAATATCTTGTATGCAGATTTACCTAATGCAATATGTCATTTGATTTCTTTATTGCTTCTTCCATGAGTGTTGATAGTTGATCCAAGATGAATGAAGTCGTTGACAACTTCAATCTTTTCTCCATTGACTAGAATGTTGTTTATTGGTTCAGTGGTGAGGATTTTCGTTTTCCTCACAATGAGATGCAATCCATACCGAAGGTTGTGCTCTTTGATCTTCATCAGTAAATATTTTAAGTCCTTTTCACTTTCAGCAAGCAAGGTTGTATTATCTGCATATTGCGGGTTGGCAATGAGTCTTACTCCAATCCTGATGCCACATTTTTCTTTATATATCCCACCTTCTCAGATTATTTGCTCAACATAAAGGTTGAATAAGTATGATGAAAGAATATAATCCTGTTGCACACCTTTCTTAATTTTGATGTGAATATGAGGCTACTGAAAATATGGCTTAAGTCAGGCACACTTCAGTTCTCAAACTGATATTTTTGCTACTGAACACTTTACAGAGGTCTTGTGTGGCAGTGTTGCCTAATGTAATACGTTGTAAGTCATTAGTCTTGTAAAATTCTATCATGAAATACTCTGCATAATTTCTATCACTAAGGCCATATTTTCTAACTACTGTGCTTTGGGTTAATGCGCTGGACTGCTAGGTCATTTGAACAGCAAGATAAAAGGTTAAGTTCACCAGACACTCCTTGGAAACCCTATACAGGGTTGCTATGAGTCTGAATGACTCCAGGTATTTAACAATCCTTTCTTTTGAAGTATAGCTGTGGCACTGTAGGTTGAGCACTAGATTGCTAAAAGCAAGATCTGTGGTTCAAACCTACCAACTGCTCCTCAGAAGCTTAATACAGGGTCATTATGAGTTAGGACCAATTTAAGGCACAACAAGAATCCTTCCTCTTTGTTTCCAACTTTAGCTTTCCAGTTACCAAGATTTGTCAAGGCATCATATTTGCATGTTTGATCAATCTCAGATGGAAGAAGTTGATAGAAAATTTGAAAAATTGTGGTAATAACTTGTCTTCCTTTAGGCGAATGGATATTATATCACAAACATGTTTGTACTTCCAGATTAGATCTATTCCCTTTCAGTTTGTTGTTTCTGACATAGTGAGCTGTATGATTGTCGTATTCAAAATGGCCAATATCAGTCCATTTTAGTGTTGTGGTTACAAGTCGGGCTGCTAACCTCAAGGTCAGCCGTTTAATGCCGTCAGCTATTCGGTGGGAGAAAGAAGAGGCTTTCTGCTTTGGTAAAGATTTACAGCCTCGGACCTATGCAGGGTCGCTAGGAGTCAGAACTGACTCCACCAAACAACACTACCACTTATGCCTAAGGTTTCATTTTTTATGTGTTCCATTTCATTTTTGATGACATCTTATTTTCCTAGATTCATATTTCATACATTCCATGTTCTGATTATAAGTGGGTGTTTGCAGCTGTTTCTTCTCATTTTTAATTATGCTCCATCAGCAAATGAAGGTCCCAAAAGATTTGCTCAATCTATGTAATTAAAGTCAACTCTGCTTGAGGATGCTGCTGTTCCCTAGAGTATTTTGAGCTCCTTCCAACCTGAGGGCTCATCTTCCCGCATTATATCAGACAATGTTCCACTGATATTTGTAAGTTTCTCGGTAGCTACCCATCCAGAAGAGGTCTGGGAGTCCTACTTCCTAGTCTGTCTTAGTCTGGAAGCTCCACTGAAACCTGTCCACCATGGATGACACTGCTGGGATTTAAAATACTGATGGGATTACTTCCATCATCACAGCAACACAAGTCACCACAGTATGACAAACTGATGAAAGAGTGGTGGATTGGAAATAATAGTAAGTTGGAATTTGAAATAAAGGTGGAATTTGAACAGTGCTAGTTACTTAGCTCCATTGAAGAAAAGCAAGGTACAACCAAAGTAATCGTTAGCTGGAATAATATATCTCAAAATATTCAAAGATTTCACCATTATTTCTTAGATTGTGGTACCAGATATTTTTTCCTTTAGAGCTTTCTGTCTTAGTTTGATATTCCTATTTTAAACTAATTCCTTCCATATTTTTGTGAATGAAAATAAATAATGATATAAACATCAAATAATATTGGTTTATTTTTCTAGGCTTCACATACCTCATCCTGGTGGATAATTTCTTCAGCTTTCTCTAGGGATACCTTTCTCACAAGCAACCAATTAAAATATGCTATCTAATGCTGACCTTGTGCATGATACATTAGTGTTCTATTACTATTTAACTTAAAAGTCATTAAGCATTTGTTTGTCTTAAGGGGCATTTATGAGACTATAGGTAACAAAATCACATTAAAGGTTCTAAACTTACTCTTTTCTTGGGGAAAATAATTGGAAAATGGCCCTCTGTGAAAGATCAGAAAAACCTTTTAAATAAAAATCTCTACTTTTATAGTACTGCATTCATCTAAAGATTTCATGGTAAGATGACAGGGAGATAATTCTTAGTTTCCTGATTTTGCATAATAGGGAAATATGAGGAATATATTTTATTAGGGGTGTCATAAAAACATTAAAGTTTTATGAAGGAATTTAGATCTTTGTTGGACAGAGGGAAAAGTTATTTTTCTGTGTAGCACTGACACACCACTTGATAAAAGAGAATTGAGCATATTCTTTTGCACTAACACTAGTAATCAATTATTTGAAGGTAAGTAAGCTCAATTTATTTTCATCTGATATTTCTGTTTCTATTTGTTTTACAGCATTGATTATTGTGCTCTGGTATATTACTCTCTTTCTCATATATAAGAAAGGGTATCAGAAAGTTCATGGAAAAGTTAAACTAAAAATAATGAAAATTTTCCATGAGCTTTTTGAAGCCCCCTCATATATATTTTATAATTGTTAATAAGCTAATAGTTATAAAAAGTAAATGTTGATTTCTAGCAATTAACTGAAATGTGATGTGTGGGTTACATTCCTTTATGTAGATATGTACACATTTTAGAAATATCTGATGCATATTTCTTATGGGGTGTCTAAGTTAAGACTATATCGTATATGTAAATTATTTGTGAATCTCATGTATAAATTCTGTATAAGAAGTATTGTTGTATTTTCCTGGAAATACTCTAATATATATGTATATATATATATGTTATTGTTAACTGTGTTAGGTCAATTCAGACTCACAGTGACCCTTTATAGAGTTTCTGAGGAACAGCTGATAGGTTTGAACTGGTTTGGGGTATGAACAGGTTTGAACCAGCCACTCCTTAGAAACGCTAAACAGGGTCCCTATGAGTCAAAACCTACTCAGTGGCACCTAACAACAACACTATATTACATATATATATGTGTGTGTGTGTGTGTAATATATTCTCATGCAGTCTTTGTAAAAATATAACTGAGATGTGGAAAAATATGTATAGATATTTATTCTTGTCTTTAGACTACCTGATTCATTGTTTTCTGTCTTGGTTTTGGCAGAAAGTGCTATCAAAAATAAACCTTCAGAAATGAAAAACAGAACATCAATTACAGATTTTATCCTCCTGGGTCTCACAGATAATCCAGAACTACAGATTGTGATTTTCATCTTTTTATTTATCACATATGTACTGAGTGTTGCTGGAAATCTAACCATCATTATCCTTACCCTGCTGGATTCCCACCTGAAGACCCCCATGTATTTCTTCCTCAGGAATTTCTCCTTATTAGAAATTTCATTTACTTCTGTCTGTAACCCTAGATTTTTGATCAGCATCATAACTGGTGACAGAACTATTTCGTATAATGCTTGTGCAATCCAGTTATTTTTCTTTATCTTCCTTGGTTCAACTGAGTTTTTCCTCCTTGCTTCTATGTCTTATGATCGGTATGTGGCTATCTGCAAACCTCTACATTATACCACCATCATGAGTAGCAAGATCTGCTACCAACTTGTAATCAGCTCTTGGCTGGCTGGTTTCTTGGTTATCTTTCCACCATTGATCATAGGCCTAGGGCTGGATTTCTGTGACTCCAACATAATTGACCACTTCACCTGTGACTCTGCACCCTTACTGCAAATTTCATGCACAGACACAACGACTCTAGAACTGATGAGTTTTACTTTAGCTGTATTTACTCTTTTGTCGACATTGACATTAGTAATTCTTTCCTACACTTACATCCTTAGAACAATTCTAAGAATCCCCTCAGCTCAACAAAGAAAAAAGGCCTTTTCAACCTGTTCCTCCCATATGATTGTTGTATCAATATCTTATGGAAGCTGCATCTTCATGTATGTGAAAACATCAGCAAAAGAAGGTGTTGCTTTGACAAAAGGGATAGCTATTTTAAATACCTCTGTAGCTCCTATGTTGAACCCATTTATTTATACTTTAAGAAATCAGCAGGTGAAACAAGCATTTAAAGACATTATAAAAAAAACGCTTTACTCAAAAACAGTAATCTGATTCTAATTTATAACTGAAATGGACCAAAAGCAATCTTTACCAGAAAATCAATAAATATTTTACTTTTTAAATTTCTTCTCTATCTTCTTACTTTTATCTCTCCTCAGAAATACACTGTTTATTCTAAGTTGGAATTAATGTTCTTACAAGTTCTATTTATATAAATTCAATCATAAAATTATTATTAAATGAACCAATGTATTTTCTTATGGTACAATTCAAAGATAGGATTAAAGTCACCTTCAACATTAATATATGTGGTTCAAGTATTATACATCATAATAATGTTAATTGCTGCCCAAATTATTTGAACAAAATAAGGCTTTTTTTTTTTAAACTTATATATTATGGTTTTGTATGTATGAATATGTGTGTACCTGTATTAATTTATATTAGATAGATAGATAGATAGATAGATAGATAGATAGATAGATATAGATAGATAGATATAAATATATAGA